GACTTCTCACCCTGACTGAGGATATGGCTTTAGATAGGAACCTTTGGAGAACTAGGATTAGAGTAGCTGGTTAGGAACTCGGTGCTATAGAGGTTTTTTGTAGTGTGTTGTGTTTGATTGGAATCTTCTATTAATACTTGTAGAACTTTCTTTTCATTGTACTTGGTGTTTTATCCATGCTATACTGTATACCCTATCATATTTTTTGTGCAGGTTGAGCCGGGGGTCTCTTGGAAACAGCCTCCCTGCTTCCAAGTAGGGGCAAGGTCTGCGTACACACACCCTCCCCAGACCCTACTGTAGTGGGATCCAACTGGGTTGTTGTTGTTTATATTATTCATTTTCAAAATATTATTTTATCTACTTAATATATAATATATATTTTATTTAATTATAAGTCAAATGTTGAAAAAAGTTAATCAAAAAAAAGTCAAAACTGAACACAAATATTCAAGGACGGAGGTAGTAATTAAAAAAAGATTCTTCTCATCCATAATTCCAACTACCCCCTCCCCCGCAATGATTATAAAAAATTATTATTCTTTCTTGCATTATTAGAAAACAAAATCTTAAATTAGTGATCCTAAATCTCTATGATTATAAATTTTAATTTTAAAATATTAAGAATCAATTATTCTTCTCCCCCCATACTGATTTTAAAAAGCATTAAAATGTTAGTGCTCCAATGATTTTGTCACGATAGTATTCTGGTCAAGATATTAAATGTTTTATGAAAATATAAATAGTTACAAATGAGAAATTATATTTTCTTTGATGTGGTTGTAACCTGTAACTGAGTCTCGAACTTATTAGCTATTGCACCTTAGATTATCTGCACAATTTTTCTTACTTTTTTGATTATCTTAAATCTTCATTGTCACAAATCTTCTCACGCTCCCCTCACACCTTGATCTTCTTTGTCACAATTTTCTATGCATAAATATATGTCGTCTCATAAAATATCATGCTATGAAGTTTTCTTGTACGATTGCGCAAATAAAAACGTAAGAAGTAAGTCCTCTCTTATTCAAAATTTCTTAATTTTATGTATAAATATTTTGAATTATAACACAATATAAGTATGTACTGAGTAAATCATAAGTTACAATATAAGATTATTTTGATTGAAATAGTAAATCAAGTTACCGAGACAAAGTATAAAAGTCTTATTAAATCTTTTTTCTAATTTGTTAATTTTCAATATTCAATATTTTAAAAATAGTCAAATAGTATATGTATAATCCATTTGTCTAAAAATTAAGTACATAACCATGACATGTATAATTACCTTAGAAAATATAGTCTTAAGTCTTTTAATCACCTAATTACAAATTATAAATTCCTTAATTTGAGTAATCTCAAAATAGTCTTTTTGAATAAGGTATTTTCAAAAATCAGTGTTATTAAGCATTAATTATCTATGTAGTACTTTATAGTTGATCGAGATTTATTCACTCAGTGTCCTCCGTATATGTTTGTTTATTAAATTGATATGAAGTGGAGGAAATTTAGGTATTTTCAACATTTAAATGTAGAGTAATTTTTCAAAATGATCCTTTCGGATAAACCTTTTTCTAATCTAGGTCTCTGTTATAATAATTATAATTTTATCTCAATTGTACATTTAGGGACACCTTAATGTTTTGTGTCCCTCTATTAGGCACTCATGTTCACGCTAGTAAATTTCGAATGAGGATGACCTCGCCTTCGATCCCTCACTTCATATCTATGTTGAATTTTTATAAAATTCACGTATGAAAAATACGTGATTTATTTTTTTGCAAACACTGTTTTGTTGTATATATCTCATACGAATATTTTTTGTATTTTTTTTTAAAAAGTAGTAGTTGTGACTTCAATGAAGTCAAAAGTGAAATACCTATAATTATTTTAAAATGTTTTTGTAATTTTTCTTTGTGAAAACCCTTGCAACTGTATTTGTTTTGCTGTTTAAAAATAAATTTATATCAAGTGAAGAAAATTTTGGATGTAAAATACATGTGATTATTTTTACGTGATAATTTTTTAAAATTTTATGTGAAAAATGTAACTATTATTTTAGAAGTTGATTTTTAAAATTTATACTATTATTTTAATTATCTTAGAAGTTGATTTTATAAAAAAATTATTAAAAAATGAATTTTAGTTCTCACTCAATTGCATAAAATTTCATGCAGGTTCTAATTTCTTTAATAATACTCTCAGTGTGTTTGGATTTGATCTTCTCAATTGACTTTTCTTGTCAATTTTGTATACTTTAACCTCGATATATAGAACAAACATTGTCTTTCGATAGAAATGCATTACCAATAACTTGCTTTTGAAACTAAGGAATCTCTTAATGTTTGGTAGCTCCTATTTTGGAGATAAAAAAAATATGCAATTTTATTTTGGTATTTTCTCCATGTTTATTCCTATTCAGGTACAGAGTATTTTTTCCAAAAAATTATACCGACACTGTGCATAAGACATATACTTCGTATACAACTTAAATTGGATCTATCCATATTTTGATTAAAATTGTCACGTCATTCAATCATTAATAGGAGGCGGGTGATTTTTTAAAATGTTGCCATGAATATTTGCCACTTGTTGCAATTCTAGAAGTTTAATTCTCAAATTTAATATATAAAGATATTTCTTTTATGGAAATACTTTCATTTAAAAACATAAGTTTTATCATTTATAAACACTGTTTATATCAAAAATGAATATTTTTAAAGACTATCAATATTGTGATGTGAATATATATAATATCTCAAATAAAATTTAAATCTTGATAGATTTTTTATACTCCCTATTATATATTTAAGGAAATTTTAATTATTAAAAAAATTATTGAATATATTAAACCACAAAGTTTTCATATTAAAATTAAAATTATCTAATATACATAAACCCATATTGCACTAAATTTCTTTAATACATTTCTCATCTTTAATTAGTGGTATAAGATGAGCTACTCCAAAGTATATTTTAGCTCAATAAATTTTCATACAAAAGAATAAATTAATAATTTTTAAAAAACTATATTTTACTCAAAATACTTTTAATATTATTTTTGTTTTTATGAAAAAACAAAAATAATTTTTATTTAAAAGTTTTTAAAAAACTATATTTTAGTTTCTTTTTTATGATTACTTTATTTAATTTTTGTTGAAAAATTACATTTATTTCATTTATATAATTTTCAATAAATTCAAAAGTCCATAATTTTTTAATATAAAATATATTTTTTTAACCTCATCATATTTTAAAGGTTATCATAAATAAATTTCCATAAATGATGAATGAGTATTTAAACCAAGCCATGTAATTTATTCACGTGCCATGTCATTTAAAAGTTGCCATGTAAGATAACACATGTCAACTTTTTGGAGACATGAGTCTCAAATATTATATTAAAGGATTTCAATAACAATATTGAAATGTTTTATTAACATTAAACAGAAAATTAAAACATAGTACGTAGTATTATATAAGCTCCCACTCTGAATCAAGAAAATCACTGTCGGGCACCACCAGAGCAGGCACAACTTGCTCCTCATTTGAAGAAGATAAAGCTTCCTCATGCTGTGCTGACAGATGTTCATACTCCCATTTTGTTGATCTCTTTTTCGAAGAAAATGCTTCCAAAATCTTTTTCTGTTTAAAAAAATAAAAGCAAGTAATAAAACATTAGAACCATGTGGTTAGTAACACTTGCGGGTCTCCCCGTGATATCGCGCCATGGTGAATCTTTTAGCAACATGGTCTAATCTCTCTATCCTTTAACGACCAAAGTTTCAGTGATCGGGTTTTATTAACAACATCAAACCCAGTAAAATTCCCCCAAAAAGTAGAGTTTGAGAAAGGTGTGTATGCAAACATTACCCCTACTTGGAAGTAGAGACCAATCTAAGAGACAATTGCACAAAGGTTTGTCTAATGACTACAAACAAGGGGAAACGGTACCTTGTACGAGTTACGTTTGGATACTTGTCGTGGTAAGCGGAGCTCATCAATGAGCCCAACGATTTCTACCTCTTCGTCGAACACGTCACACTTATCCACAACATTGGTGTTGAACAGTTCTGCCCTTTCTGTCAAAAGTAAGAAAAGCAGAGAGGTTTAGCTTCATACGCTATTGGAAAATGCACATGCAAAAGGTAAAAGGTGATAGCTAAACCTGAAACTCACAAATGAGAACATTATAATGCACATATAACATTAACGTAATTTCAAGCCTATAGATATTATTTAGCTGATATAAATGAAAATGCTACTTGAACGATCAGCCAGTTCAGCCACAGATTCAGCAAATTCAACCACCTTGGCAATATTAGGCCTTACCAAACAGGCTCTTAATATCACATAAATGGGCGAGACTGCCGAAAAAATGAAGGGAAAATAAAAAAGATGCCTCTAATCACTCTGCTAAATTCCATATACGAAATAAGCTCACCACCAGATTCTCTGCTGATAGTGTTGGTGTTGCCTTCCGAATCGGTCTGTTGAGCTCTATCATCATTTATATGAGTCCCCTCTGGCCCAACAAGAATCAAAGGGAGAAAAAAAGAAGAACAAGATGGTAAATAATTGGCAATTTAAATTACATTCATGTTACAAACTTTTATGTTAAAGTCTTATACCACTTGATTCTGTTGCTAAATCATCAGAAGAAGAAATGCCTTCCACCAGAAGCCTCGGAGATTCAAATGGTGCAAAATCTGTTGAGCTGCTAATATCTGGTAAATCATCGGAATTTTCCATGGTTGTCTCTTTAGGACAATCAGAAAGTTGTTGCTTATGCTCAGCCAGTTCATCTGATAAGGTCGCGTCACAAGTTGAATCGGACATATCTTTGCACATTCTATTTGATGTCTCTGGGATGTCCAGTTCTATATCTTGGGAAATAGATACAATCTCTCTATTGTCACGGATTGAAGATGTGGATTCTGAGAGCGGTTCAAGAATTAAATCTTGCATCACTTCTTCATAGAACTTCCTGACACTTGCACCAACTGTTTCTACTTGACTTTGAACATATTTACGAGTGTCCTGAACAGAAGTAATAGCAATACAATGTTCAAAGACCATTGGATCACATTTACATGCAAATTGACACGAGACGAAAAACATACATAGATGAAAGGCATAGGCCTCACTGGACACATACCTCTTTAACTTCCAAGTACACAACTTCACATTTATAGAGTATGTTTTCAATCCAAGATACAGTCTCGACCCTCGATTCCGAATGATCTGCTGAACCAGACATGATTCAATGGGATAAAAAAATGCACACCTGCGTTGATCAAGTGTGTCAATTCAATACCAATGTTAAACAACAAAAAAACACAAAAACTTCAGGTACTCACAACACTGATGTCGTTCTAAAAATCTATAAAAAGTTAGCCTCATGATTAAATTGGTTGTTTGAAAAGCTGGTTGCCTTCTAACAAGTAGAATCAATCTAATGTCTATATATATGTGTTGCATTATACTCCATATTTTTTTATTTTGGATGAAGTTGATACTACCTCTGCGCGAGAGTATTTCTATGATTTGACTCGTTCAAATCAATTTGAACAAACTTTGATCATCAATTAAATAAAAAAAATTAGTACAAAAATCATTAGATTTATCTTACATAGAACTTTAAAAAAAACTTCTAACTTTATGAATATGGAACACAAATTTGATGTAATTTATGAACAAAGCCAGTTTTACTCAAAATTTTATGAAACTCTGAACCAGGATAGATTGCATAAACAATTTTCCAAAAGCAATTCTTCGATCAAAGATAGCTATGGCTTAGAAAAACTAAAGCAAAAGCAAACGATTTCTAGAGAAATTCATAGGGAAAATAATGCGTTTAAACTTACAGCTCAACAGAGAAATAGAAGAAGCTGAAAACGGCTGGAAAGCGGAGGGCTTCTAAGGGTTTTAGAAGGATTCTAGAAGATGAAGGATTTCAAATATATAATATGGTGTTTATAGTTTATACAAATCCTAATGGAATTGGGAGAAGGAAACATAATTACTCTACTTGCCACTCCATTCTCGTTCCAACTTCTAACAAAAATCTTCAAATATCACTAATTACCTAACAAATCCTTTTTCTTTTTCGAAAAATACAAATTCATACTCGGTTTTATATTTTATATCTCTATGATATTTTTGAAAATAGTTTATTTAAATAACTATGTTTTAAAATATACACAGTAAATTTGTGTTTAAATATATAAGGGTGTGGTCTTATCAAATATTTGTATGTATAGTGCTTCTTGGTACACCTTGGGTGCATATTATTTCTCTGCACCTTTTCACGTAAAAAAATTATTTTTATTTTTTATTTAAAAATAACAAATGCTTATTTTAAAAGTAAAAGAATATTTATTTTGCTTTGGTTCATGTTGGACCTTAGATCCACTGTAAAATTTGTCTTGTATATGATACTTCCTAGATTTTTGTGACCATACTTGGGTATTTTTGGCAGCGTCATTTCCATAATTTTAGAAGTAAATTTTGTAATGAATTATAGACAAAAATGGTAGTGCTTCTTAAAAAAACAAATTTTACAGTGTCGTTTCCACAATTTTTATAATTGCTTTCATAAACAAAAAATTGTAAAGAATACTGGAAAAAGATTTTATTACCGTTTTGAAAAAAATACTCCGTAGTAGTGTTGTTTCAAAAAAGATTGTTGTATAGTGAGTTATAAAAAAAATTGTATTGCTTTTTTCAAAAAAATACTCGTACTAAACAACTACGTGGTATTCGCTTTTGTTTTAAAATTATCTTTCCATTTTGGTTCATAAGATCGGATACAATAAAAATATTTTAAAAAGAAAATTGACTTATATGGTACTAAAACATAATGAATTTCACAATGCAGTATCAAATGTTTTAAATTCATTAGATATTAAATGTCTACCGCCACTGAATATTATTCAAATACTACTTAGGAATTAAAATGTTTTAGGTACAATTTTAGAAAAAGACATACTCCGTACGTTTTAGTATAAATAAAAAAAATAAGTTGAAGAGAACATAGCCTAAAGAGTTGTACTTATTTTGGCACAGTTTTTTTTTGGGGTACAAATTTGGTGTTAGACTCATATCATCATTTCAAAAAAAATAAAATAATAGTCATTATCTTCCAGAAAAACTTATTCTCCGTGCATCCCACATAAACCACTCTTTTTTCATTCCTCTAAAAAAAACTTCGCGTTTTTTCTACTCCGCATTAACTTATAAAGACAGACATAAATGAGTGACTCACAATCATTTTCTCTCATTTAGACAGATTTGAAGAATAAATTTTATATTTTTTAAACAACGTGAAAGTCAAATAAAGAAGCTTTTTTATGCAGAGGTGAGAGTATATGGCAGATCTAGTATATCATACGCCACAATTTGAAATTCATACCAAGTAACAACATGAACATCAGATATTAGTTTAAACAAGAAAGGCTTTCTGCCAACACACGATATTATGTACTCTCTCCCTCTCTCTGTATATATGATGCACTCAGCAAATTTGAATAGCTTTAAACATTTCAATGCAATATTATTACCCAGCTGCTTGAAAATCACCAAAATCATCGTCTTCAGCAACCGGTGGTTTAATACTTTCAGTTTCAGGCGTCCCTGATTGACACTCAATGGTCCTGGCTGCTGAAATCTGGTCAAGACTTAACTTGTGCGGCGACCCAGTGGGAGAATTCTCCGCGGTAGCAATGGGTGTTGGAGGTGGAGGTGGGGGTTTGAGTAAAACCGGGCTTTCTTTTTGGTTGCCTTTTTCCTCCAACGACAGATTGTTCAATCCTTGTTCAAAGAACTTTGACTTTATCCCACCACTTCCAACTTTCTGTTATCATCAACAAGAAGAATAGATGAAGAGTGTTAGAGTATAAATGTTTCCCTAGGCTTACAGCCACAAGTTTGAACTTTTGGTCGAGTTAGTTCTTTGATATGATATCAGAACCTTGCTGACCTAAAGGACACAAGTTCAAATCTCACTGCCACCCAATTTATAAAATTTTAATGTTTGCGTGCAAGGCTTGAGCAAAAACAAATCTCGTCTACATGTGAGGAGTTGTGTTAGAGTATAAAAACTTTCTTGTGCCTACAAGGTTGAGTTGGTTCCTTGACAAGAAAAAACTCTAAACTGTTACAGGTGTATTGAAAAGGAAGATGAGAGAGATTCGCAAATCTTACATTTTTTATTTGAAGCACTATAGTTTCCCCTTCTTTCAAACTGTAATCAACTGACAACGTTTTCTGGAATTGTTGTTCCATCTCTTCAGCAGTTTTCTTCTTATTTAGGTACCTAATTAACAGTTCGGAAGCAGTCAATCAATCAAGAACAAAACGGAATGCATCACATTAATGAAGAATATAATCGCATTCCACCCAAGGAAGATGTAGTGCCAAAGTATCCCACATCGGAAATTCACCCTCATATCACCCCTCGGGTAAGAGATTGACTTTCATACTCCGCATCTTATATGTAGAGGAGTTTATTTCAAATCATGATAATAGTTCATAGGGCACCCGTCCATTCAACGGTTTGAGACAACCTGCTTATGGTCGTTTTGGGGTATAATTCTCAACCCCTTCAGTTGTAGAATCCAATCCAAACTGAGGGGGTGAGTTGAGCACTTGAATATCTCACATCAGTTGTCTAATGTGTGTCACATCCTTCTTCAGTACCCCAAGGTGGGGCAGAGGGGTCCCTCATGGCCAGGGTCTTAGAATTTTAACAATATTGTTTTTGTTGGTGCGTTGTTACCTAGTTTGTAGTTTGTGCTTGTTGTGCTTTGGGTTTAGTTGTTAGTGCCGATGTGTGTGCTTTTTCTCTCTGTGCCTTTACTTTTTGCGTGCTATTCTGTTCACTTTGTCAGTGTTTCTATGTTTGAGCCGGGATCTCTTGGAAACACACCCTCCCCACACCTTACTTTTGTGGGATTTTACTGGGTTTGTTGTTGTTGTTGTTGTTGTTGTGGTGTTCCTCCATGTTGGGAAATCAAATGTAAAAGAAAAAGCTACAAGAAACCATAGGGAAACATAAAATAAATATAGTGAATTGGGTGAGTATGATTACTTCATATGATCATGAAGGGCAGCTTGGAAATCATAAGCTTCGGGTCTCTCCCGGAATCCAATGCCAACAAAAGCATGCCTTAGGCGACCACCTGCACATTTGAAGATATTATTTTAAGAAAGCCAAACTAACTGCAAGTATCTACATCTCAATAAATTGATACGAAAAGACTCATTAAAGGGTATGTTTGGATACCATGAAATATTAGGAAAAAGAAAAAAACATCGTACTACAGGGACCCATTTTCTTATGTTTGGTCTTACATCCAAAAATACAAAGGAAAATGAAAGAGGATTAATGGTTTTACACATACACACACACTCAACACATACATGTATGCGTAAATGCATAAAGATTTCTTAATGAAAATAAATGAATAAAATTAGTAGTTTGCCCTTTATTTTCTCCCCTTTCTATTTTTCTTTAATTATTTCCCCAGTTCTTAACAAACCCTAATAGAGGAAGATGAACAGATATGGTTAAGTGATTAGGTAATTAAGATGCAAATTGTAAAATGGTATACGCAGACACTATAAGACTAGTAACAAAACATGGAAGCATTGTAAATACCAATGTTCTCTTCAATTCGAAGAACAAAGTACCTGCATTGGAACAAAAAGAACACCAATTCCCTTTAGCAAAGAGCCGGGAATAATAATGGCTTAAAATCATTTATTCCAATTACAATAATCTCTCTTCACCTGCTACTATCAATCACAGGCTCTACTGGATGAGGTTCTCCATCTCGCAGAAAAGCCCGGGCATAAAGCTCACCTATTTTCAACATATCAACAATTGGGCATAACTAATACTCCCTCCGTCTCATAATTATCTTTTCCTACTTTCCTATTTGAATTGTCCCAAAAAATTCTTCCACTTTCTTTTGAAGGAAAAGATCGTGTGGTCCATATTATTTCTCCTTCCTCTACTCAAACCACGCATGTTCTACTTTATTAAAAATCGTGTAAATCCCAAATAAGAAGATAACTATGAGACGAATGGAGAATCCCAAATAAGAAGATAATTATGACCGTATTATTAAAAGCCGAACACAGCAAATATTTCTAATAGATATATCATTTTTCTTTAAAGGCAACACACCAGTTGCCTTGTCTTCGAGTCTGATTATGCATTCTTCTCCTTTGCTTATAACCTTTAGTGCACCCTGCCATGCCCACTTGTTCACATCCCACTCATCAGCCCTGTACGGAATTTGGCAAACAAAACATTCAATTTGGTATTTGGTGATTAGAGAGATCCAATTATGAAGGTTAAGACCTCCACAGGATCACACCACAAGAAATTGAGAATACATATTAAATATGGAGTGCAAGTAATAAGCAGTTAAAAACCTGTATGAAGCTGCACTTATTCTGGGAGGAATCTGTACAATTGCATGTAATACAAAAATGAGACCACTTGCTGCATCTAGTTCTTATGACAAGTACAAGCAATGATGCTAAAGTGAGCTTGTAGGAAGTAACGGATACAATTGAAAATCTTTGTAACATCATAAATTTCAAGGGCAAGCTTGGGGGCTAGATTTTGAAAGGGGGATAGGGTAAGAGTGGGTTTTCTCTAAAAATTATGGTATTGATATTTGATTCATGGTAATAAATAAGTGACCTGGACATTGAAATTATACTAATTTATTATTATATAAGGAGTATCCTTTAGGTTGGAGGATATTAATGTTGAAGCATTGTTCTCTTTACATTAAAAGGTCAATTTCTCTTGGAGAATGTGTGCAGCCAATTTCGTACAAACGAAAAAACAAGGAAGTGAACAACTAAATCCATGTGGAGGTAGAAATTACATTTTCATAGTGAATGTGTCTGTATAGGAGGTGATCAGAGCTTGTAATTGCACAAATTCGGATTCCTCCCTCAGAATTAGAGGCATATTAACCCTTCAATTATATAGATTGTGTTCCAGCTTTATAAATACATGGCCAGCCAAACGTAAAAACAGTGTAGTTAAAAGCAATTGCAAGCACTCTATCCTAGCAAACTGTAAATCTCAGTCTTTAAACAGCAAAATCAATGCAGAAGCTTCATCAAGCAGCAAAAAATAAGGCTTGAAACGGAAAAATTGAAGCGAGTCAGGCGGGCTTACCAAGTAAACATAACATTCTGATACTTGAAAGAGAATGAACTCCAATTCTTCTTCTTCTTCTTCTTCTTCTTCTTCGGGCTTCTGTTCAGTGTTCTGTTCTTTCTCCATATGGTCAAATCTAATCCGATCAAATATTTACAAGTTTCAGCAGAGTGCTGAATTGTGGATTGGCATGCGGTTTTAGGAGATCAGTGTGAACAAGGGGAGGGGGGTCTTATTGGCCGGAATCTAAGCATGGAATTGACGAGTAAACGCTCCTTATTCTTTTTACACTAATTTTCTAGCATTCATGTAGTCCAATTTTCTAGGGTCATATGATGGAGGTTCTAGACAAACACAACCATTTAATAGTATATAAGTCATACATAATTATCATTTGTATTTGTATGTGCAAAGCATGAGTGCACCCGTGATAACACTTATGTGGAGACTAACATTCAATTTTTTTATGTTATGGCATGATGATATTTAGCCGAACAAAAAAATCTCCCTGCCTCCCAAACTCACTTTCCCTATATCATGATTTGAGCTAGTCCAAATTGACGATCTAGGGCGGCACGGGCAGCACAGTGCTCGGGTGGAGTGCAGAAGTGGGACTAGGGGTAGGTTCGGTTTGACGGTTTGGTTCGATCCAAAATAAAAAACATAAAGGTAAGTTGGCACTTCAATTTGATTCAGTTTTGTGCCAAATCATGTAAATCATTGGTTATTCGATTTGGTTTTACGAGGTTTTTATTTCGAGTTTTAAAAATAAAAAAATTATAAGCATTAAGAAAATTGCAATAACACTAACTTGATGAAGCAATTAAATATGTAGGGTTGAGTTTGGTTTTTTTTATTTGATTTTTACCCAAAACCAAAAACCAACAATAGGTTAGAATTCAATTTGGTTCAATTTTACGTAAAAAAAAATATGTGTCAAGTGTCCAACAAACATATAGGAGATTCCAAATACTTTCAAAGTTTTTGTATGTAAATATAAATTAAGGAGAATTTACGCTTTCTGATACTGCCTCCGTCCTAAAATCATCTTCCCACTTTCTTTTTTTCTCCGTTCTAAAATCATATTTCCCACTTCTAAAAAAAGTAGCTAAATGACTTTAATACCCTCAAATTCCACCGTATCTCTTTTTCTTCTCACTTCATTCGATCTTTTCCCCATTTCTTCTCTTTCTCTGTTCGCCCTTCTCTCTTTCCCTTTCTTGTCTTTCTTCTTTCCTCCCTTTCTTCCCTTTATTTTCTTTCTCGTTCTCCCTTCTCTCTATCTTCTCATTTTTGGATTTTCCCTTTCTTGTCTTTCTTCTTTCTCCCTTTCGTTTCTATCATCTCATCGCTTCTCCAAATGTTGTCATTCCATTGACGAAATAATTAGAGGTAGATCTGACGAAATCAATGCGGATATAAATCGAGAGAAGATGGGTTCAGTGGATCTACATGACCGAGATGGTGCAGATGGCTTCGGCGATCCAAATTGAGATGGTGCAGATGGGTTGGAGATCCAAATCGAGATGGTGCAGAAGGGGTCGGCGGTGCATATGGGTTAGGAGATCCAAATCCAGATGGTGCACTAGATATGTATTTTTTTTGTGAAAATTTGTTCCCAGATCTGCTTGGCAACGAGTCCAGTTGAGGCAAAGAGAGATAGTGAGTGTTGCGTTGCGGGAGATTAGGATTAGGGGCATTTTTGGAAGGTCAAAGCATTTTTTGCACAACCTTAAAAATGAGCTCCGGTCAAAGTGGGAAGATCAATATAGGACGGAGGGAGTATAATACTTTCATTTTCATTATAACGTCAAAGTTTTTGAAATAAATATGTAAATTACTTGTATCAATTTTTAATGTTAATATAACTCTTTATTAGGAGTAGTTATTGATGTTCAAATTTCTAAGTTTTTTAAAATTTATAATATGGTTTAAAATGTTTAATAGTTAAGAAAAATAACTTTAATTAACTAATCGGTTATTAGTATTTATATTTCTATGATTTTTTTCGCATTTCACATACAATCATATACATGAAGCGAAGTATTTAAGAAAATTGGGTTCATTCTGTTTTGTTCAGGTTTTCGAAGTGAAAATCAAAATGCTAACCAAATAATAACGTTTCGGTTCAATTGTTTTTACATTTGACTTTTGTTTTTTCGGTTCTGTTTTGTTTCTAGCTTGGTTCGATCAATTTTGGTTCGATTTGCGATTTTCAATTTTCCCAACCCAGTCCCAGGTGGGACAAAGGGGTAGGGGTGGAGTGCAGGGATGGAGCGGGGGGTAGAGTGCTTATTTAAATGTTACCTATTTAACTCTTGTTTTTTACGAAGTAAAAAGATGGTTGAGTTCATCTTTTGTCTCGAGTGGTAGGAATTCCTATTCATATTTCGTGTATATTGAGTTGATTTCAGATCCACATTACTACATGAATGGTAACTTGATGAGAAACTGGTGTGGAAATATATAAAAGTCAAACAAAAGCTAACGTTGCGGTGAAAAAATCTGCAGAGACGAAATTTAATGCATCAAAAATTTGACAATGGTATCACCCCATTTTCTTCTCTTATAAAAGAACTAAAGAAGACTTTTTTCTATTCACAAATTGGTTAAACGTTCTGGATCTGTGGTCATATAAGATAGAGAATATAAGTTAACGATGAATTTATAATAACGATACATTCTTTTTTTATATATAAATTGTGTGGTTTGATGAAGAGTAACAAATACTCCAAACATAGAAGAGGGAACACACTGCAAATATTTATGAATTTTATGGCATAAGAGGCATTAGATGGGAGCATAATCGTTAATTTGGAATACAATGACTAAATTGAACAGAATCAAATCAAACTTATACAAATAATCATAAAAATCATTAGGCAAATCTACAACAAAAAACCATTTTCAGGAGATCCCGGCTCATAGACTAGATTACTACAATAATTCTCACAAATTATAAAACTCAACATTAGAGTCTAATATGGCACTCTTATATACTAATAAATAGATAGGGGAGAAAACACTTATATACTCACATACTGTGTTGTTAAGAGCAAGGGACAGTGGCAGTGACAGTTACGTGCCGGGGATCAGTCAAGATACTATTCACATTAACGAACCCAGTTTCTCTCATCACTCCCTCCATGTCAGTCAAGTAGTATTCGTCCAGAAAAGGCTCGGTGCTCTTCATTAATGTAAAGAGCACAGGTGGTAGTTCCTGTACATTTTAAAAGATTGAATCCAATTGATTAGCCAGTTCAATCATTTTAAGGCCACTTTAATATTTTTGGGGGGAGAGCCTTAGCAAGATAAGAGCATCTTACCTGAAGTTTCTTTGATTTTGGCTGCAAAAAACAACAAAGCAGTGTCTGTTAGGATCTATGATTGTTTTAGTGGTATATATTCTTGAAGCATGTACTCTAATTTCTAGACCTTACTCTCGTAGGATTTACTGGTTCTTTTGTATTAATGAAACATCTCAAGATCAGAATGGTGACAATTACCGAGTTGTCTGTTACAGAAAAAGTTCCTCCGGGCCTAAGCAACCGAAAAGATTCCTTCACGACATTACGAATTGCTCTTCCGGGGCATTCGTGAAACTGCAGACCATCACAGGCAATAATTTGAACTTCGACATGCTCAAGCAGCCAGCTATTTTACATGGCAAAGATATTTACATCTCGAGTGAAACTTACCACATAAGAAATGGAGACAAGGTCAAATGATTGTGAGGGCAAGCCAGTGTCTTCAGCATTTGCATGAATCCAATGTATAGGTTTTAATTTTGAAGCTCTATTCTGTTCCTTAAATTGAGCGACGGAAAGAAAGTAAGGTGACAGATCAAGTCCCTGTAAAAGAAGAATATTCAGATTCATATTCGACAAGATTTTGGAAATTGAATTTAATCCTACTGTCCACCCAATATGTGTGTGGTCTTATTTTTTATGCCAAATCAGTATGATCTAACTACATGCGGTTTGGGATAGAAACACATATGTGTCGGTAAGACAGTGTGTTATACTCCATCTATGCTGAATTAAGGTTCCACAAATGATTGGACGCGGTTATTAAGAAAGGTGAAACTGAGTGGTTTAGAATTATCCAAAAAGAGAGAAATGATGTAAACCATTTAATCATCATTTCTTTAAGGAGTGTGGAACTTAAACAAACAAACAAAAACGTGAAACCTTTTTCAACGACAAAGGGAGTGCTAGCTAGTTGATTGAAATCAATATATTGTGTGATTTGACTCGGGTGCATTATTTCCTAAATGAGTGACCCAATTCCAACTATGGATTATATCATCTGTTTGTGTGTGTGTGTGTGTGTTGGGTCTCTCTATTTCCAAATAGGGGTAAGGTTTGCGAACACAGACCCTCCTATCTTGTGAGATTCTAATGGATTTCTGTTGTTGTTGTAGAGTGTGTGTGTTGGGTCATTTGGATACTTACACATACATTAGCAGAAGGATATCTATCAGATAGATATCTGGTGCTCACACCAATAGAGCATCCAATATCAAGAATGTCTCCAATTTCTACACCTCCGGAATATTTTTCATGATGTTTCTCAATTGTGTCGAGCCAGTTCCCCCGTACAATCTGAGAAGCTTCGTCGAGTGACTTGGCATTAGGTATAGCTCGCAACTCCATCGCCATTGTTGCAGGCTCCGCTTCTGCAGCTGCCTAAGGCAAGTAACGGCTCCTTACTTTCTTAGGATCATTGCATCATTAAGCTACTCTTATGAAGAATCAAAGTTAGGAAAGAGAAGAGTAATGAACCTAAGAACCAAACAAAATAAGGTCAAAAAAGTTGTAACAACAACAAACAAACAAACCCATTAATATCCACAAAAAATAGGGTATGCGGAGGTTGTGTGTACCCTGTTCAAGAGACTCCTGGCTTGAAGTATAAAACAAGGTAAACACAATAGCATGAACAAAGTAAGACCGACACTATCAACCAGACTCAATGCACCAAAAGCACACATCCACAAGCTACATACTAAAGTAAAAACGCACCAGCAAAACTACAAACTAAGACCCAAAAGTCTATCCAACTACGCTTTTCCTAGATTTTCAAGTGTTCCTATCTACACTGAAGAATATTGGTTACCACCTACCAGCCAAGAAAGATTGCCCTCATCATAAGCATGAAAAGGACTGACATAATCTGCACAAATTAAGAAAAAAGGTTAATTAGCTCTTTGCCCGCAATACGTAAACACAGAGTGGTCAATTAAGAGAGAAGAAGATAAGATTGGAAAGAGAAATGAATGAAGAAATACGGACAGTCAGGGTACTGAATAGATTGATTTTCGATGATTTCCATCTCTTTGTAGACATCGGATTCCAGCATTCCCTTTGTCATCTCCCTCCATGGAATGCTATTCTTCTCTGCTGTGCTGTTCCCATTCAACCATAACAAATAATACAACACATTCACATGTTTTTTTACACAATCATTCAGAACCAGAAATGCTATGATCTATTGAATTCACTTATTACTTTTGCACACTGGAATTGGGAGTAAGCAGGTAAGCAATTTACCCAGTACAGAAGAAACGAAGTATATGCTTCCTAAAAATGTGATGCATTTCTGTATTTACTACGCAAAACATCATAAGAAGTAAGAGGCGAGAGAACCTGATGAAGACTTGTCTGGCGCCAAGCTTGAGCAGCGAGTAGAGAGGCTTAAAGGAAATTAGGATTCCGACGAGCCGAGAAAGGGGCGATTCTCCCGTCCACCGCGGCCTCTCCAGCTTCCCCTCCTCGTAGCCCCCCAATGCCTGGGCGGCGGCGGTTCCATTTCTGGACACTGCAGCTCGGCTCGTGCCGAGACCGGCGCCGCCGGTTGTTGGCAATCTTCTCTTCGATTGATGGTGGATGAAGACGTCTCTTGTGGAGGTGAAGCTGTGAGTATTGAGATTTGATGAGGGGAGGCAGTACAAGGCCATTGCCATGTTGATAATTGGAAGAAATAAATCTAATGGTGTTGCAGACTTGCCTTAATCGGTCCAAAAGATGTAATCTCCCACCCCAGGCGCCCCCACCCCCCTCCCGACAGGAATGGTGGAAAATGTAAATTATGGTGACTCAGTCGGCCAAGAATGCTAGACTCGTGCCCACCGTGCACAAGGAGCCTCCTCACCAGACTTGCCTTAATCAGTTAATCGCGGTGGAGAGGCACAACAGCACAAGCCCTACAAAAAGTATAAGTCATTTTTTAATGTATTACTTAAACTTTTATCTCTAAATTTTCAGTATTTAATTAATGTCTAGTTGTGAGAATAATGTCCAGTAATAGTAGATATTTAGTTTGAACAACGTCTGATGCTGGATATTTAATTGAATAATGACTAATAAACAGTGATCAGTGGTACTATTGGAAATTAAAAACATGTTGTACTATATTGGAAAAGTCATTATGTTTTAGTATCATTTAGGTAAATTCTCCAAAATATAAGGCTCAATTCTAATTTCGAGAAATTCAGATTTATTTCAATATTACTCACTTTGTTTCATAACCAAAAAGGCTCAATTCTATTTTGTATATTCAACTCTACACATATTTTTAAGAGTAATTTTATAATTAGTCGTTAATTGTAAAGGATTTTCTACATTCAGTTCCATTATACGGAGTATCATATATCACACGTGTTCATTCTATCATGGGAATCTTTCTATTAATAATTTTTTAAAATTGATGTCATGTTAGTTATATTATATCTAGTCACGTATTTTAATGTCGACTTGATGAAAAATAAAATTATAAAGGCTATGGTTATGAACTATGATTTTGCATAGAGAAGATATATGAAGATTATGGTTATAATAAACACTCACTTGAGTAGACAACAAAATATAGGACTATTGTAAAACTATATTTTTAGCTTTTAAATGAATATCAGCATGACAAAAGATTAAAATAAGAACTATAAATGGAAAGTACCATAGAAATTACAAGAGAATTCTTTTATAATAGAAGACTAAATATGAAAATTAAAACCTCATGTTGTAAAGAACTAGTTAAAGATTTAATTTGTTTTAATCATATATTGTACGGAGTAAAACTACCTACTCCATCCTTTGTCATATTACATAAAATGAAACAACATTATAAGTTTTTTTAAAATTTTTCACACATTTTTTTTATATTTGCAAAATGTACACCATTATCATAACTTTAACATAAGTGTGGATTTAGCAAATACTCCCTATAAGTGAGAGTGGTGAATATAGCCATTTTTAAATGTACCTGCACCCAATGTCTAATTCAATTGTCTCGTAGTAGAAAAATGCCAGGGGTACACCAAAGGTGTACCTCATTTGTCCCCCACCCCCTCCATTACCACAAAAATGGGCAAGAAATTAAAACAAAATTAAATAAGTAAAAACGGGGTTAAAATGAGTGGTAGAGAAAGGGGTAGGGGACAAATGGGTACACCTTTGGTGTACCCCTAGCATGGCTCCTCGTAGTATAATTGTCAAAAATCAAACCCGGATATTATCTTCTGCCCCGAGCATTCTTTGCCTTACCACCAAGTGGCCCATCGAAAATATCATTTACTTAAACACATACATTGAAACTAAAAGCATTACTACATACTCCCTCCGTCCCTGAGTGTTTGTCCACTTTCATTTTTGCACACCATTCAATGCACTTCTTTAATCCATTTTATCTTGTAATTTGTATATTAAAAAAATTATAAAAATTATATATTAATAATCTATATGTTAAGACGAATCAAACAAGATCACACATAACTATTTTTAGGCTTACACATTGAGAGAATTTGATGAGTCAAAGTGCTTAGATGAACAGTTCCAAAAGTCAAAAGTGGACAAACACTCAGAGACAGACCAAGTACTATGTATCTACTTTTCTAAAATACGAGTAGTATTTTAGAAATTTATGAATGAAAAAGTGCATTAAATACGATTAAAACATAAGTTATTTTTTAATATGGGACTTAAACTTTTTTATTTCCTAAATAGAATTTAATAATATTAGTAAGAAGAATAATGTCCAGTGATAGTGGATATTTACTTGAACAGTATTGGATAATAATCAATGGTCTTATATTCGAAAATAAAAACATATGGTTCGAAAATCGTTATCTTTTAATCCTATTTAGGTAAATTCCTTTTTATGAATTCCTAAACATGATAAAGCATTGATCACTCAAAGAAGAAATTTCCCATTTATGAATTCCTAAATGTAACACGCTTCAATGGCAATTAAGGACGTACACAAGACAACCAAGTCATTTTCTTTAAAGCATGGGCAGGTTTTTGAAAATGACTTTGTAACTCAATATGTTTTTTCTCATGGGAATGGATTTTCGAGTTTCCAAACCAATGTACGAAGTATGTGAAAAGAAAAGAGTATTTGTCCACTTTTGACTTTTTTTAAGTTAAAATTGGTAAATGTTGACTTCAAATTAAATAAAAATGATATTAGATATTGATACAAAAAGAGTTTTATTAGATTTACTATATCAAATATTTTTAAAATATTATTTTATTTAATTAAAATACAATATATTATTTAATTATAGGTCAAAGGTTAAAAATAATTAACCGAAAAAAGTCAAAACTGGACAAATACTCAGAGACGGAGGTAATAATTAATTTCATGTTCCCTTATAGTCTACTCGTCCCACCCTTTTAGTCTAAGAAAACTCAGACCTTTAGCAAGTGATTTTTTGTATTTACTTAAAAGAGTAAATATAATATAAAGCATATTGGTACATGAAAAATACCAAAATAATAATATTATTCTTTTAAATTTTAATATACTAGTTTACCCTATCATTGTAAATCCTTGTCAAACTATAATATATTATTTGTGATTCGTCGGAGCACCACCATGAGATCGTCAGTATTGACCGTTAAGTTGGTCTATCGATTGTTGACGAATAATTTTTTTATTTTGTACTCACACTCTTATATTATACTCGCATGCCATTAATTACAATCTTATTTAGAGAATTAAAATATTTTTGTAGTTATATTTCTCTTAAAATTACGAAAATGCTGGGGGGGCGTACTACCCAAAAATTGGTAGACCATAAAGTCTCTCCACCATATTCATGTGTTGAGAATTTTTTTTATGAAAAAAATAATAAAAAACAACAAAGTTAGGTATTAACAAAATCGTGTACCTATTTGTACATCAAACAAACATAGACACTAAGGGACTGTTTGTTTCAGCCTCTTAATGGTTCAGATGTCTGAATGGTTCATCACTTAATGGTTCAGACTGTTTGTTTCAACTTCTTAATGGTTCAGATGTCTGAATGGTTAAGTATTATACAGAGTCTGAATGGTTAAGATCTCTTATCTGCATTGGTCAGACATTTGCCTCTGAATAGTTGAGCAATATACTAGTTCTTAATGGTTCAGACCTCTTACTGGTTCAGTACTTAATGGTTCAGACCTCTTACTGGTTCAGCACTTACCTATTCAGAAGTTGCCAAACAACCCCTGAGTGTTTGTGATCATAAATACTTAAAGTGCTCATAAGCACTATTCACATGGTCAAACATGATTAAGGTGTGATTAAGGTATACTCCTTCCGTCTTAAAATAATCTTCACAGACATTATTCACGTGGTCAAACATTAATTACTTTCTTTACCTATTTTTGTTAGTTATTTGATAAAATAATATGATCATATAACATCTTGTTTTGTAAAGTTTTTGATCTAGTTTTAAAATATATAATTTTTATTTTTTAATTTTACGTCTATAATTAAATAAATTAAATTGAAAATAATTTTAGTCAAATTTAATAAATCGAATTGGAAAAATCATTTTAAGAGGAAAGGATTATCAATATTTTCATAATATAAAAAAATTATGGTGACAATATATGGTATAGAAATAAAGTGCACCATTTAGAAATCATCACTCATTTGTTAAGTTTTCTAGGAAAATGCTATGCGTACACCAAAGGTGTACCCCATTTGTCCCCTACTTCCTCCATTACCACTTAATTAGGCAAAAAAATTAAAAAAAAATAAGTAAATAAAAATAAAAAATAAATGAATGGTTATTGAAGGAGTGGTGTACAAATGGAATACATCTTTGATGTACACTCTTTCTTTTATCCATTTTCCATCAAAGTCCAAACAAATCGGAACTGTTGTCTTCCTCCTCCCCCTGTTCACCGCGTATATAAAAGTTGTGATAAAATCTTCCCACGGGAACCCTCTTTTGAAACCCCTAAACTCAAAATGTCAGTAGCGGCGCCCACTTCTCTCTCCATAGCATCTTCCGCCGCCGCTGCCGCCGCCGCATCCCACAAAACCCTAACAAAGCCGACCGCCGGAATCATACACCACAGTCCAGGCTTCCTCTCTTCTTCCGCCGTCATGTTCAGGCCTCTCCGAGCTGGAGCTCTCCCTTCCGGTGGCCCCGTGGCTGCTTTGGCGGTCTCTGCTCCCGCCACCATCAAGTCCTCCGATTCGCTAGATTTCGAAACTTCTCTGTTTAAGAAGCAGAAAATCTCCCTAGCTGGCCACGATGAGGTATGCATACACAGCCTTATGTCTGTATGTGTTAAAATGAATCCCTATGTTCTTAATATAATGATGTTTTGCTTGATTGGTGATGTGCAGTATATAGTGAGAGGAGGCAGGGATTTGTTCAGCCTGTTGCCCGATGCTTTCAAGGGAATCAAGCAGATTGGCGTGATTGGATGGGGATCGCAGGTAAGATTCTACCCTTTAATTGCATTTTTTATTAAGTTTCATCTGATACTAGTAATAGCTTGCTAGTTGCTACTCCCAGAGTCCCAGTAACGGACAAGCAATGATCTGCCCGCCAAGTTTGAGGAAAAAAACATTTTTTTAAATTTAATCATTACAAACATAAAGAAGATGCGTATAAAAAGGTTAAATGTGTCATTAGACTCTCACAGCCGTTTGAACAGTTGAAATGGTTGCCTATATTCTTTACCTCAA